AAAAGTAGGGAAACTGCTTTCTGGTTTCCATCTCTCTGGTCTCTAGTCTATGTCTCAGGGGGGTAGTCATAACGAATACATTTTATTTCCACAAAATTGCACTAAAATTGTCGTAAAAAGAAAACAAAAGTTGAGTGCGCCTGTTTCGAAACCCAAATCAATTCTGGTAGCTGACGGAATGTGACAATTACGGAAGACGACGAGTCGTAAAAAATTAGAATGCTGAGACGACTGAGGCGACTGGGAAGGGAAAGCCAAATGACTCGCCACTAAAACTTGTCGTAGAGTCATTAAGGTGAAACACTATAGAGGCACTGGCGATGAATTCCCTTAAGTACCTGATGTCGAAAGGTCGTTAAATTATCTCACTATAAAATTTAAATGACTTAAATGGTGTCCCATTTCCACACACACCCCAATAATAAATAACAGCTCCACACAATAAAACCTTAAAACTTTTTTATGTTTCAGAGATTATTTTCGACATTTTTAATGGCATTGAAATCAATTTTTGTATCGTTAATCTTGTAAATTATGCATGTCGCCTGTCGGATGCCGTCATTCCGGTGAGTCTTTTTGGAGCTGCCAATGGGCCACTACCTTCTACATGGATGGGTAGGTGTCTTTCCTTGGGCCATGGAACTTGAGATGTTTTCAAAACTAGGTTGTTACAAACTTGATATATAAATGTCCAATGTTAGTTTAAAGATTTATGTGAGACACCTGCAAAAATACGATTATTATTATTTAATCTTAAAAGGAAAAACTAAACTACAAACAGAATAAATACGTTGTCATGTGTAAGAATGACGGATGACAACTTCAATTAGGACACGAAAAACTCTTTCGTAAATTAAAAAAAAAAATTCGCAAAAACCACAAAATCCGCACTCGTAACAGGAACGAATCCTATCCCACCGTGGGCAAAAATTCTTTCAACCCTCCCACCGACATTTCCCAGGGAAACCTCGTCTGACACATGTAAATGCGTGCTGACAGGCCGAAAGGAAAAAGAATAAGTACAAAGGCAGTATGAAATAAAAGAAAACTGTCAACAAAATTAATGTCATGCGTGTTCAGTGCAATGAAAAATTATGGCCTGGCTTTATGTCAATAACAAAGAGGACGACCAGACATCCAGACGGACGTCGAAATCCAAGTGTGCAAAAACCATGGAGGCCATATACATACATACTACATAGCCCAGGCCAGACCTGGCCAGGAGCAGGACTGAGGCGACAGGCAGACAATGATTGATTTGACAGGACAACAATGAACGAGGAGCTTGGCCTATGCAAAAAAAAACATCGACCCACAACAAGTGCAAATGGTTGTCAATTCCGATGGCGACGCCTAGGGTTACATGCCACTAATGAAGGCAAATAATATTAATACTCGGGGAGTGAGCACAGAGCAGTGAACACTGAGCGTGTGGTCCTTTTTCTTATGGAATATTATTTTCCAACCATTTGTCAACATTTGTCAAATTTGACAGCATACGCCCGCTAACATTTGCCCCTTTTGGCTGTGTTACTGCCAACTCCCTCAGCCCTGCAGCTCTTGTTCATTCCATCCATTTATCCATTCATCCATCTATCCACCCCAGTGACATTGACAGCTCTCGGGGTGCCTTTTTCCGTTGTGATGCCTTCAGGCCCCCTTTTACGCGAAATTAATAACATCTACAAACAAAAACAACTGAGCCAAAGTACTTATCATCACCCGGAAACCGAACAACCCAACAACCGAAAAAAAGGGGTTGGCCAAAGGGCTAAAAAAGTTAACCTGCCTGTTTTGAAAAGCCAGGCAGGTTTTTGAAGTTTTTGGTTTAGCAAATGAGATTACAAATGACTAATTGGGATTTTAAAAAGATAAAAAGAAGAAGCTCCTATTCAACCTTGTTAATTAAGTTTCCAGAGAGATCCATCCCAGACATCATAGATCTCGACTTATACCTACAGTTTCTTCACCCAAGAATATAAAAACTTATTTCAAAAAGAAATCAAACCAAAACTGTCAACACCTTGGAGGCAAAAAAGGTATGAGTAGGGTGTTCTCTAATATCTAACCCAAACCTATAATAATTTCAAACTCCTGTGTCGATATGACCAGGAAAGCCACACATCAAACTCACAGCGGTATCAAATTTCGAGCAGATTTCGATTTGATTTTATACGCCGCCAGTTGAGGACTATAAGGACCATACACCCGCCCTATCCTTGACATATCCGATATACCCATTCCCAGTATGATTCTCAAAGCCCCGGGCCAGTGGAAATGAGGGAAAAGGGGTGGCTTTTGCGGCGGCCGTGAATAAAGCGATTTGTCTTCTTTGTTGTTTACGTTTGGTGTTATAAATTCTCGTTCCGGGGACTTGGGCCGCAGCCGTACGTGCTACGGTCGCACATCGTATATGGAATTGCCTAAAAATTATTTGTGCATAACAGGGGATAATCATAAATCTGGCTAATTGCACTTTATTGGGGTCGCTCCCTGACTGCCTGACTGCCAAGACCAAAGCGGTCCTTCCAGCTCCTGTCCCGGCTGACTGGTGGTGGCTGGACCATAGTACTCTCCGGGCCTTAACGCCCTAGGGGTAAAATTGAATTTGACATGCCGCTCACAGGCATTAAATCTGGAAATTCTCCACACTGCCGGAAATGGCAACATATAAATTTACAGCTTTCTGACGATCCTGTGACATTTGATATGGCTAATGGTGTTATGACATTCACTATGCGCCTTTCGTTTATGGCTTTTGATTTACATTTTGAGAGAAAGGTTAAAGGTTAGTTTATTTCAGCCATAAATAAGGGGATTTTGTACCTTTAGGAATACTGTTTTAAAAAGTAGCTAAAAATTAAATAAAAGTAAATTTAAGTAGAATAGACTTTATACTTTAAAACCATAATCCTCAAATACCCCAAACTCTGAGTTATGATAGTACCCTGACCTATTGGCAGTAAATACTAATTTCCATTAACCTCTCACACATCAGGCCATAATCATAATCATCAGTATCGGCCACATCTTTATTAATCTCATCATGATGATCCGGCAAGATATTAAAAAGAACACGTCTTTCTTTCACGTTCATACAGATGAGAAATGAGAATTATGGCCGACACATAATTAGGTGAGCCTGCTCAAGGAGGTGATCAACATGAATATACAATCGGCCAGTTTGGGCCAGAATGAGAGCCAAAGAAGCGGCTCCTTCCTTCTCCAGATGCAGCAGGTTGGCGCAACCATACCGCAACCACCAGATTTTTAATGAATTTGGAGGGAAACTCGGATACGTTGAGGAAGAAGGTCGAGGAGCCGCGGCATCGGCACAGATCTTGTGCGGAGGTAACGTGGCTTTTGATCTTTGCTGCGTTTGTTTGTATACAATTTGATGGCTCGTGTTGATGGATCGTAAACGTGAAATGATGTTCGCGCTGTTGCCCGAATGCTCCTTCTCGAATGTTGCCGCTGCCCCATGCCCCATCCCCGTTGCCCGATGATGACGATGATCAACGCAACGATGACGGCACAGTGTGTCTTTGATCATTTGCCGCGCCAGTTGGCAGTCAAAATGTTAATTTATATGTTCTGCTCCCGCCTACAATCGACAAAAGACAAAAGGCTACCTACCACCAGAAGCGGCAGCAGCACTAACAACTTTACAAACATGTTTGAGATTTTTATTACTGTGTGAAAATGTTCGATTCTTCCGTAAAATCCGGCAAAGCAGGATCAAACAAATTTATGGGTGGGCGCAGCCAGATCTGGCAGGCCAGATCACTCGGTGCGGGAAAACTTTTCATTGTGATTGATGGATGGATGGATGCCTATGCCACAAAAACAACAGAGTCGGTAGCCAGTAGCCAAAGCCAAAGCCGGAGCGGGAGCGGGAGCAGCATTCCCAGAGGGATTTTGATTATAGACAAGTTGTCGGTGGATTTTTATTATTGGGGAAATCGATCAAACCACTTGACGGCTGATCAAAGACAGCCCACGGCCAGCCTACATTTTTCGATTATTCTCGATGTTTAATGTGCGTATTTTTTATACGATTTAATTATGCTGAATTTCGATTTTGTTTGCTATTTAGTTTTCCAGAAAAATAACTCTTCTTTGCCAAATAATTATTTGCCTCAAAAATCAAACAATTAAGCCCCTAGATGCTTGCGTAAAGAATCTAGATACCATACTATTCCTCACTCATTTGGAAAATAGAATATCTATAACCTTGGGACTTATGGGACTTTATGTTTAAAAATTCTTGATTAATGGCCACATGTTAGCCACAATATGTAATAAAGGATAACTTTCCCACATCAACCAAGATCCACCATCCAGCACAACAACGGCCTGACTCCGAAGCGTCTGATGACGAGGGGTAAGCCCCAGTTGGCTGGACCGAATGTCTGGCGGTTGTCTTGGCCACATATTCTCCGGCCAGTCCATTGGCCAGAAAAAAACATTTGTCTCGCTTAATTTAAACAGATTTGCGAGATTATTGTCATGCCGACGTTGAGGCAGCAATTTCAATTCGACCGCAGCCGGAGAACGAAGACAACCCGCCGAGCCGGCTGACAGATGAAGACGGCGAGCGGAGGCGAATTAAGAGAATCGGATTCTCCAGCTGGGGGAGGAGGCCCCCAAACTCCGGCAGGGACCGGACGGAGGATGCATTGGGAGAGAAAGTCAATGGGCAAAAAACCAGAGCAAGCCGACCGCGGTGATGCAAGGCAAATCTCCTGACAGCCGCCTGCCGGCAACTTTTAATGTTTTCCTTTCCGAGTGGGATGTTTGGATTGCAGAGCAAATTTGCAGAGAACGTTATGCAAGTGACAGGCGACAGATCCGCGGGGGGATCCAAAGAATGCGACTGCCTCTTTTGCCGCTGCGGATGATGATTCCTGCACAAGCCATATTTAAAACGCTTTGAAGTTACACCGCGGCACAGCCGAGGCAACCAATGGGAAGAGGTGTCTGGGGCGCGAATCCAACTCATGTCGGGCTTGACGCGATCGGAGCATGCTCTGATCCCAGATGAAGCCTTTCAGATCAAGCCATGCAATCTGACGGATGCAGATATGGAGCTGGGAGCTGGTGATGCCTGCTCACTTTTAATTGTTAGTGAATGGCAAAGAGATTGGATTGGTGCAGAGAAAGAAATCCCTATACTCACATTTTAATGCTTATATACCTTAATAAAATATTTTCTCTCAGTGCACACACTCACTTGACAGCCTGAACGGCTAACTGCCTTGGACAGCTACTCGTTTCCGGAAGTTTATCTCCGTTGCAGTTCAACAGCAGCTGCTCGAAAGTCATTAGACTCCGTCAGCCTTGTCAGTCAGCCACCGCTTTGGTACGGCTTCGAGCCGAGACTTTGAGACTCCATTCCCGAGACAGACATTTGATCCGGGCTGTCAGCCGGAGTCATGTCAAATTGTGTTTGGACAGCTTGTTGGTATTGTCAGCTGGAGTGGATCTAATGCAATGCGAAATGAGACAGCCTTCGGTGAGATCGATCTGATTTGGCCCAATGGGAGAAGGTCTCTGGACAGATCATGACTTAATGATGGGGTTAGCCCAATTTAGAGGCCATCAAACCATCTTTCAAAAATAAATCATTACACAGTATTCTCCCACACACTCCATATTTTATTTAAAAACATTCGAAATTCATCTTGAGGGAAATGCTTCGAACCAGTAAATCCTTGGCCTTGTTATTGAGGGGGAGTTGTGCCAGGACCATTTCCACTAGTGACATTCGCTTTAGGCCAGAAGAGCCAAAGGAAGAGCCGGAAATGCCACCAAACCCTCAAAAGAGACCTATGGTGAGTTCTCGATACCTGGAGTTCCGGGAAAAACTGAGACGCCACTCGGGTCCAGACCTTGTGCCCGAGGTGCCACCCAACCCGGCCCACGAAATGGAGCCACTGCAGCCGTGGCCCAACAGCGTGAACCCGCACACGGGGGAAGTTGGCGGTCCGGCGGGTCCAGAACCCACGCGTTACGGCGACTGGGAGCGTAAGGGACGAGTCACGGACTTCTAACACTTCTAGGGGAAAATCAAATCTTCACCTTTACGCTTGTGTTTGGACTGATTCTGATTTATTAACCATGTTAACAACAGAAGCCCTCACAATTTGTTACACTCTCGGCCACGGTAGCAGGGCCTGGAAACCAGATCAAGATGAAGCAAATCAAGATTCCAGCAGAGCGCTTCTGCGAAGGCATTACATAAATTTCTATTGTGTGATTTCTTTGTGGTTTCTGTGGAGAGGATTTATGTTGGCCCTGCCATCAAATAAAAATTGATAGCCCTTTCTCTAGCTCCTCGAAGGGGTTCCCAGAATAGAGAGTGCCGGCTGGAATCCCTTGACTTCCATTATTAATGGTTCTCGGGCGGAGAATCGTGCCCAAGTTGAAATTACTTTGGGCGGGTTGGGGGCCTCCTCGGCCCAATCGTTTCGATTCGTTTGAAATTAAGGCGACAGTTTACGTGATTTTTATTAGAAAAACTTCTGTTCAGTTTGTATCTGCTTCTAATTTTGTAGCCAGAGTGCGTGTGTCTGAGGAAGGCACATAAAGGGGTTTTTAAAAGCCATAAATTTCACTGTTAAGGCCCGGAAAACGTTTTTGTGGTTTTAGAAATTTGTTGGAAATGTTCGAAAAAGATTTGCAGCTGTTTTTGTGTGCCTATTTGTTGACATTTCTGTGGGCTTTAGAGTGGATTTGTTACTGAACACAAATAGAAATTGTTGAAATAACAGAAATCTTTTAATAATAATTATAGTATAGGGTATCAAGTAGTATGCTTCCTAATCTATACTCGAACATGATCACATAGCTTAAGAATTTCATTTCAATCCATCTGTCAATAGCTCGGCATTCCTTTACAGAGCAATCTATTTGCACCTTTAATCGAATGCCGCCGTCGGCAAAACGCCAAATCAAAGATCAATCACAATTCGACAAACTAAAACGATATAAAAAGCAAAAACAATGTGAAACAAATGGATGGAAACACTTGATGGTACATAGCTCCAAAGATAAATTCCGCATAAATTCCAGGAAATCCACAAAATGCTTTAATGTGCCCACCATTTGAAATCCCCAACGAAATTACACGCCAACTGATGCTCAACAAATCCCAAAAAAAAACGAAAAATTCAAACATCGACAACTTGCTCAACGTTTAACAGACGTGAGAAGCGACGACTTCCTCCGTAGTCATCCATCAAATGCGATTTTCCGACTTAGCCGGGCCACCATCCACAATTATTTCGTCTATTTTATTTTTAAACGAAATTAACGTGTTGCCTGCCGTTGTTAATGTATTTTTATTACGTGAAAAGTAAGGAAAACACACGCAGATTCAGACCAATGTTCCCAAGATCATTTTATAACCCGAACGACTACCAATACCGAGACCGATACCGAACGGAATCGATCCGTATACCCTTATCCATTGCGCCGCTCTGCTCTGCTCTGCGTCGCAAAGTAGTAGGCGCTGATTGATAGAACAAAGTGAAAATCAAATAAAAAACAAAACATAAAATCTGGGCACGAAACCCATTCCCCCTTGACCGAACCACATTGCGGCGCGAGATCAAAGACCGCCCCTCGATCTGTAATGACAGCTTTGATCATTGTTTTGCCTTTGATTTTTTCCGGTTACGTTTCTTTCTCCCAGTCGCCGTCGTGGTTCCCCTCTTTCGGGTTTTTTTTTCGGCTACTAGCTGGTCCAATGCATATGATCATCAGTCTTGTTCCGAGAGTACTCAGAACTGGTGGGGAATGGGTGGGAACGGGTCCGTTTACGATCGATTTCGCACCTACTTGAGAGATTTCGCTTCTGCTGAAACAAAATTGTACTGAAATTTTTACAACAATGTTTTAAGAAGAATAATATTTAGGTATTATTTAAAATTCTTTAAAAATAAAATATAGAAAATTAATATTTTCATGAAGCATATAGTAAAGAATACAAATATTAAGTATACGCAAGGGATCATTTGGTAGAAGTTTCATATTTGTTTTTAAATGCCTTACAGGATACTTTTGCATAAATATGTTGGCTTCTAAATTGTCTTGGAATTTACCTTTTAAAAATATAAACATTTTTACCTAGTCATTTACTAACCATATCTCACCGAATTTCGAAACAAAACCCCTAAGAGAATATAAGAAAAATGGGTCCACGACCAAGGTAAGCAGCCGGAGTGGGTTTTGGGTGGAAATCGACAAAATATACGACCAACTATTATGTTATTGTGTGAACGTGCACTGATTTCGCCAGCCGGGCTTTTGTTCACGTGCAATATTTTGTTGGGCACCCCGACCCCCAAAACAGGGGAGTCCTTCGTCCTGCCAAACGGGGTTCGCCTGCCGAGCTGGCATCTTATCGAAGCGTATAACATATATCATTGACACTTTGACATTGCCCGTTTGGCGGAGGGAGGGAAGCTGGGAAAGGGAAGAGAAAGGTGGCAAGGTCCTGGGCCATGACCAACAGGATTTTAGTACTTTTCAAAATGGCACTTAATCATGGCAGCCGCCTGGCGCAGGAAAATGCGGAAACTGGCAACACACACACACCGGCAGTCGGCAACTGGCAACAACAACAGGGGCAGGAACAAGGACACACACCAAGACGTAATCGCATGTGTTCACGCTTGAAAGGATAACGACGACATGGTTGGGAATCGGTACTGGAACTCCCGCTGACTTTCCCCCAGCACCTCCTCCCCTTTCCCGTCCCAACCAAAGCGAAACAAGATTAATGACTTGGCAAAGGAACTCTCTGCGCGAAAGTGTGCGTCTATGTGTGCGAGTTGGCTGCTCCTTTCTGGCATTCGATAAATTGTTTGCTACTTGGACTGTCATTAGTCGAAAAGTTTGTTTGTTATTGTGTTAAGTGTTATTTGTGTGCTCACGTCCAAGTGTCAGGCTCTTTGGCATTTCGCTCCCTGCCTGCCCCAGTCCCAAGATCCTACCCATCGTTTATCACTTTCGTTCTCTCGTCCCAATCCTGGATAATATTCGCATGTCATAGATGACTCACACCTTCCATCGCCCTAAGCCACTGCCAGTGATGACCGCAAAAAAAGCGTGGAAAAAAAATTAGTGATGCTGTGGAAAAATAAAGAATGGCTGGAATTTCCTTAATGATTGCCGAGTGACTTGAGAAAATTTTTCTGGATTTATTGTTTCCAAATCCTGGCTGAAGACCAGTCAGAGATGGCTCTTAAAGTGGTTGTTGGGAAAAAACTAAAATATTTAATAATTTTGTAGAGTTCCTTTGAAAGGATATATCCTTAACCATCGGAAACCCACTTATAAATTCATTAGCATATAATTCTGAAGTGCGGCTGGGAAAAAGAGAAAAGTCTTTGGCGTGAAAAGAAAAATAACGAGGGCAGACATAAACAGGAAACAGAACGCGATGGCCGCAATATACAACAATTTACAACCTAAATCAAATGCAGTTGAATGACCAACACAGACGCCATAAATCACTGGCCACCGAGCTCCAGTTGAGACGCCAGACGATAGCTCGAGTTGCTGGCCAATATTTTAGAGAGGAAACTGGGGAAAATCGCCCAAAACGCCGGGAAAAGCAACTAGGGGGAAATGCGGTGAAACCCAAAACGAAACGGAACCAGCTACAGGGCTACAACCGGGGACTGGGCAAAGTGAAAAGGGAAAAAGATTTGGAGAAAAGGGCAAATGCAATATGTTATCAAATAAAAATGTTACAAGCGACGACAGAGGATTGGCGGTCGCCGGAGGTCTGCGGCGGAGGCGAACAACAAACCCCGAAAGGAAAGAAATGTGTTGCACAAATTTATTAGAAACCTTAACTAACGAGCAATATCCTTAGTGGATGGCAGACGACCGGGATCAGAATTGGTATCGGGGTCGGGGTGGCTGCTGCCAGGATGGAATGAAATCCAAGTGATGTGTCAAATGTTAAGACATTACAAAGCACTAAAAGGCACAAGGACGAGTCCCGGCGCGCCGGAGAGTTCTAGAGCCGAGAAGAGTGGGGTGTCGAGCAACAGGAAAACAAATCGAACGTGTGCCTAATGCCATCAATCTTTTGTTTTTATTGCCAGCCCAGGCCCCGGCCAAGGTCCCTGTCCATGTTGAGCATTTCCAGCGAATCCAGGATATGCAGGGCGCAGGGACATGTGTGCGACTGTCAGGCAGTCAGACAGTCGGGACTTGTGTGCCCGACATTAACTCGACAGGATAACAAATCTGTTAAATGTGACAAACGAGCCAAGAGTGCCAGTTAGTGTGTGGGTTGGCCCCTAGTCGTCTTTGACAGAACTCCAAGGAAAGGCAAAAGGCCAGAGCCCAGAGTCAAGTTCTACAGAACCGAGAGAAAGAGAGAGAGAGTGAAGAGAAAACCTTCACCTTCCCACAGCGTCCTGCCATGTCCTGTGGTGTTTCCATTGACCTTTTTCCCGCTGGGCATCCCTCATCCGATCTGATCTCCTCAATTGTATTCAGAGCTGCGTAGGCGGTGACCCGGCAAGCGCTGTCACTGCCTAACGATGATTTCATGGTGGTCAAAATGCAATAAATTTTTATTGTCACCTATTATTGAAGAAGTTCGGTCCTACTATATACAATCAGGCCAACCGAGAGAATCAGGAAATTTATGAGCAAGTCCTTGGTCCTGCTGCATGCCGTAGCAATTCCATTCCTGTCAACTCATTGTGAATGCATGTCACACAGGTCCTGTTTCAGGTCCTGGTCTTGACCTGACAAAGACATCCCACAGCGTTTATCTGGGACTCATGACAGTTTTATTAACATGTTTACGAACTCTGGAGACCCTGACTTGGATTTTATGAAGGTTATTGGTTCGAAGTCGCATAATGACAGAAACATTACTGCTACTCTTTTAAGGGACATTCCAGATGGAACCACAAAAACAGATGGTTTTCATCCTTATATGTATCATTATTTTTGGATATTATACAATTATAATTTATTAAATTATTGACTCGAATAGAACAGCATATAAACTGCCATAAATATAGAAAATGGTTTCCTCGGTTTTAAGCTAAATCCGCCTTGACTAATTCCGCCCCGGGCTATGGAAATTAATAAAGCAGATTAT